CAAATGTATAGCTTTCAAAGGAGTACAGGAGCAGAGCGACCTCAGGGTTCAAGTACATAATTCTCTGAAGGTGGCCAGGCAAGTTGAAACAGTTGTTAAGAAGGCTTATCAGATCCTTGGGATTATAAATAGAGATATAGATTACTTAAAAACAAGGAATTTATGCTCCATCTCTACAAATCAATGGTTAGACCACAATTTGGAGTAATAAGTTCATACCTGGGCACTTTATTTAAAGGATCTTAAAGCCACAATGAGAGTGCAAAGGGATCTATTAGAATGATACCAGGGATGAGGGATTTTCAATACAAAGGAAAATTAGAGAAATTCGGGCTTATTCTCCATGGAGCAGAGAAGATTAAAAAGTGGCCTTTTCAAAATTATGAACAATTTTAACAGAGTAAAGAAGGATTTACATTGGTAACTAAGGGTCACAATTTCAAGACTGTCAACAAGACAGCTAGGACTGAGATGAGGAGAAACTTTTTTAGTCAGAGTTGTTAGGATTTGGAATGCACTGCCTAGGACAGTGATGGAGGCAGATTTTATAGAAGGTGTCAAAAGAAAGCTGGATATATTTTTGAAAGTGATGAATTTAGAAAGATAGGGTTGGAAGATGAGACTAGCTGGGTTGCTCTTTCAGGTGTCTGTACAGACATGATGCATTAACCTTGAACGTAGAAGGGTTGACGAGTAAGTTTGCAAATGATACAAAATTTCATGGGGTTGAAAATATGACAGCCTTCTACTATAAGAAGATATAGTTAGCTAGATGGTTAGATGGCTAGATAGCTGGTTAGATGGGTCAAATCAGTGACAAATGGAATTCAATCCAGAGAAATGTGAAGTGATGCACTCGGGCAGGATAAACCAGGCAATGATGAATGGTAGGACCCCGGGAAGCACCGAGAATCAGATGGACCTTTGTGTGCACGTAACTGGTCTCTTAAGGTATTGGGGCAGGTGGGTAATGTGGTTAAGAAGGTATATGGTGTAATTACCTTTATTAGACATAGAATTTAAGAGCAGGGAGGTTACGTTGAAACTGTATAAAACATTAGTTAGGCCACAGTTAGAGTATTGTGTGCAGTTTTCTGGAATCCACATTAGAGAAGGGATGTGATTAACCTGGGGAGTGTGTAGAGGAGATTGACCAGGATGTTGCCCAGGCTAGAGAGTTTCAATTATGACAAGAGATTGGACAGTTTGGAATTGTTTTCCTTAGAGGAGAGGAGATTAAGAGGGGACATGATTAAGGGGTATAAAATTATGTGGGGCATAGATAGGGCAGACAGGAAGAAACTTTTCCACTTGATGGAGGGATCGATGACCAGGTGGCAGAAGATTTAGTGGAAATGTGAAGAGAAACTTTTTCACCCAGAGAGTGCTGGGAATCTGGAGCTCACTCCCTGCAAGGGTGGTACAGGCAGACACCCATATAACATTTAAGTAGTATTTAGACTTGCACTTGTAATGCCAAGACATACAAGGCTACGGGCCAAGTGCTTGAAAATGGAATTAAAAACTTAGGTTTTTTTTTATGACCAGTGTGTGCACAATGTGCGAGGGGTATTTTTCTGTGTTGTAGATGTCTATGACTCTAAGGATTTTGAACAGTGTGGCACGGTTATAACAGACTAACACTTCACACGACTTTATCTGGCAAACAGTTATCTCAGGACATTTCCCTGATTAAGTCATAGAACTGAGTGATGGTAATAACTGTGCTATTATAGCAAAAATGCAGAAAACTAACACCCAGGCAAGTGATTTCTTGCACCATCTCATGACTCAATCTATGAATATGTATTTCCCAGTTCCGAAGAACAGTCACTGGACCCAAAAGGTTAACTCTGTTCTCTCTCCAGGATGCTGCCAGACCTGCTGAGTTTCTCCAACACTTTCTGCTCCTATGATCATCTATTGTCAGTGTCCCTCCTCACCAGTGAAGCAACTGTAATAAACAGCATGTTTTGGTTTATGTAAAGTGTTAATATTTGCCACTTTCAGTTTGCTCAGGAGTTTCCAGCTGGTTATTCCAACTGCTTCTGCTCTTGGCACATGGTTTACAGACCAGCAATCAAATCCAAACTCATATTTAAAGCAGAGCACAAATGCAAACTTTCATTTGAAGCTGAACATTTGCTGACAGTAAGGCCAGCAGGAAATTTCCTTCAGTGTTAGTCACACTGAGTGAGGCACGACATGCTGCAGATTAAGACTAAAGTTCTGTTCAGGGTCAAAGCTATCAAGGACTTGTTGCAACTGCCAACAAATTAGAACCACATCAAATTACTTCATCTAATTATGGTTCATCTCTCTTCAACCTTCCCCCTCCATCTCTGTTCTCATTGTCTCTGTGGAAGTACTTTTTACATTGTACAATTGTTTAACACTTTCTTATTTTTATTTCTATTGAGGGCCAATTTACAAGCAATTTATATTCTCAGTTTTATAAACACAGAACACATTGTTTTAAATCATACTTTTGAAGATCTGTGCTAACATTCTATTATTGCTTCACAAGTGTGATCTCCAGTAAGAGGTACTTCTCCCTTGTTCAAGACACAACATTTATTGTTTAAAGGCATCAGAGTCTAGCCTCTGTGTTCAATGATAGGAGACTAACATCATGCAGTGAGGAGCCAATCAATGTCAGCACGGCACATGTATTTCACCATTTTCTTAAAATTCATCTGCATCATGCCTGCCAAAACTAAGATAATAGTTCTCAATATTACTTTTACTTCAACGGGTTTCACTTTGAAGAGCACCTGCACTTAACTATTCCAGAAATTACGCAAAGGTTAAGGCAGTATCCCTGCTCTGAGACCGAAGGCCTGACTACATTTTATTTATATTGCCCAAACAGCTCAAGATTTCTCCTTGTTTCTCATGCTGTTTCAGTCCTTTGAGCTGTGTTAAATGCTCCTTATAGTGCAAGATCATGCTCAAGCTAATAGCTGACACAAAATCATTTCAGTTTTAATCTATCCATATAAGAGTCCAGCACAGACATAATGGGCACAATAGCTTCCTACATAACATAAACATTTGATTCTATAATGAGCAACACTTAGAAATACAAGGATCAGCTGTCATCCTCAACACTGGCAGAGACTGCAAGGCTGACTCACTTGCCCACTGATTTTACTTCGAAATTTGAATCTCCCAACTGTAAGTACAATTACAGGGTAATGATAGTATAACTGAATTCCCATAAGGTCCTTAATCTCAAGTTTTTAAAGAGCTGCAAGTTTTCACACAAACGGTTGGGGTTTTTGGTCTCAAAGCAATTTCCCTATTTATTTTACCAACATTGGCACAATGCGAGTTGTTTGTCATGGCAATATCATAAAGCTTACATTCGGGCAACATTGTCTGTAAATTTTTTCTTTAATTGCAAAAAACTGTTTGAACAGCAACCAGTGAGTAAAATGGGCCCAATTTTAACTCTCTGTAGGTGGGTGGGGTTGATTGAGTTAAAATCTTACCAACACATTCTTTCTGCTTTAGCTCCACCTGGTGGCATCAGATACTGCTACTGCCTCAATGAACAGATGGTTTTAACAGAGTTATGGAGGGCAATACAGCAAAACATCTCATTATTATTTAAATTCTGTCCTTCTGGATGGAGCAACTGCCTGTGCAAGCCTCAAGGGAAAGACAATCCTTGATTAAATGCATGTCATACTAAGTTCCACTTCAAGCAGCAGCTACTATGCCTCAAAGTATTCATATTCTTCATTACCCTCTCATCCTTCAACTGGATAGAGTGCAGCACACAACATATTACAATTATCCTGCCAACTTGCTTCTGTTCGTACAAAACTTGTAATATTTCATACGTTAGAAATGCTGAATCCTAATGTTAGGTGGCAGCCATGCATCAGTGAGTAGCACTGTTAACTCTACGTCAGAACGACACCGAAGAATCTGTACCTAATCCATTGCTGTACTAGAGACGATTTGTTGCAGACGCATAATTTGAATAAGACTTTAAACAAAGGACGTGCCTGTCATCTTAAGTGAATGCAAAAGATCCCACGACATGATTTGAAAGAAAAACAGAGGAGTTCTCCCTGGTATCCTGGAAAATATTTAGCCCTCAGCCACCATCAGTAAAGCAAATAATGGAGTTTTCATAGCGGAGACTATGAGGGAGCTCTGAGCGTGCAATTTAAGGAAGCCCACAGCCATTCTGATAATGAAAGTACTTGAATGGAAATGTATAAACAGAGAAAATTTACATCTCAGAAGATCTATTGCGTCTGTGTCAGCTGAAGTAAAGCTATTTAGCATAATCCTAGATCTTGACAGGTAGCCTTGTAGGTTACAAAACTTCAAGTGCCATTTTGTATTAGCAAAGTGATGAAGATTTCAGCGTTTACCACCGTTTGGGCAAGACAATCCAGATCCTCACTACCCTCTGGGTGAAACAAAAATTCAATTACCCTCTATCCTTCAATTTTAAATCTACATTCTCTGGTTATTGGCTTGACTGCTGACAGACAAAAAGGTCCTTCTCAGTCACTGAATTGAATTAAATTAAATTACATTGAATGATTTATTGTCACTTATATTTCACAATTAAATACAGTGACAAATGTAACGTGTCACCACGTTCCTGCGCCATTTTGATTTACAGAAGATTTTAAAGACATAAGTACAGTATGACTAAAAACAGAGTTCTTTCTCCCTTCTAGCGCTCTGCTCGACATCAGGGTGTTGGGGGTTTCTACATAATGGCCTCTGGGCCCACCAATGCCTCTGCATCATAGTCCCGCTCCAGGGTCACCACTGCCACCGCTGCTCCTCCACCAGGGTTACCACACTGGGCCTATAACACCACCATCGATTCAATTGCTGCTTGCGTCGATCTGCCAAAAGTACAAATTCGGGCATATAACATTGCCACAGCTAATGTCCAACGTCCTGATTCCAGCGCTGACTGTAGAGAGACAGACAGCTATCTTGAAGGCCAGTGCTGCTGCCATTGCCTGAAGTCACCACACTGGCGCCACCTCTCGCTACTGGGCCCACACTCGAGGGCCTTGCTCTCCCCGAGGAGCTGACTCTTCGCAACTGCTGCCGCACATGCTCGGGAGGCCAGGCTCACACTCGTCCTGCTGAAGACACCAAAAAGGCTTTTAAAGAAGAAAGAAAAGAAAAAAGAAAGACAGCAAAAGAAAGAGAGCAAAGGAAAAGAGCAAAAGTAAAAGAGAAAAAAAGCAGTCAGAAGCAGACAAGCCCCGGGCCAGGAGCTCAGATGCAGCCTTGCTACTCCAACACCATCAGAACTGAACCTTCATATAACATATACCCAAGTGAATGGTGGAATAGTATATCCAGCCAGAGTTCCTCTGCTCACCAGTTCCTTTTCCTTTCTCCTTCTTCTTTTTTCCCTCCTTGCAGCGGTTTCTCTTGTCCCCCGCCCCCCAACTTTTAACATCTTAAACTAATGGAGGTGAAACAAGGGAAGACGAGTTGCAGGTCAGAGCACAGAACAGGGAACACAGCGAGCACGGGCCGAGTCCCAGTGCGGGGAGTGGAGCAGAGCGAGCGCTGGCTGTCTCAGAGAGGGAGTGGGGCAGAGCGAGACTGGGCCGAGTCTCGGAAGCGAGTCCCAGGCCCGAGCCCAGAGCAGGAAGCAGAGCAAGCGTGGGCCAAGGGGAGCCAAGTTACAGCCAGAGCACGGAGCAGGAGCAGAGTGAACATGGGCTGGCCAGGGGGACGAATCCTGGAGGCCTCGTGTTCTGAAGCCCCGCAGCCACGCACTCAATAGAAAAGGACTATAACTTGAGCACTTTAAAGACACTTTTTAATTGTCATTCTGGACTTTTAACTCTGTAATCCCAGGCTAGTTTTTTTTTCTACTATTTCAATTCTGTGACAACACAAAGTATTTGCATTGTAGGTACCTTGTACCTAAGATGGCGCCGAGAGACAACATTACAAACTTTTCACTGCACTCATTCGAGTGCTCGTGACAATAAAGGCTATTCTATTCTATTCTAACTTCATTTTAGCCAGTCACAGTCTTACATACCTTAATTAAATCTCCCCTTATCTTCTTCCTGTTCCAGCACCAGCCTATCCAATCTTTACACATAAGTAAAGGTCTCCATTCCTGGCAATATCCCCGTAAATCTCTTCCATACCTTCTCTTGTCCAATTGCACCTTCCCTACAATGTGGTGACCAGAACTTCATACAGTACTCTAGTTGTAGTCCACTGGTGTTCTATGCAGTCTAGCACAATTTTCCAGTTCTTATACTTTATATATCTGCTGGGGAAGGAAAGTACACTGTACGCCTTCTTAATTATCTTATATGCCTGTCCTACTACCTTCAAGTATCAACGCATATACACGCCAAGGTCCCTCAGTTCCTCTGGACATCTTAGTGTCCTATCATTTATAATGTATTTCCTCATTATTTTTACCCTCCACAAATTCATTGCCTTATTCAGATTCAATTCCCAGTTACCCCCTTTCCACTGTGCAGTCCACTGACATAGTCCTGCAGTTTACAGCTTTCTTCTACAGTGCTAACAACAGCCCATTTTGAAAGCTTGTTAATAATGTCTCTTGCATCTAAATCCAAATCAACGATACATACCACAAGACACCTTGCAGAATCAACTGGAAGCAGTCTTCCAGTCACAAAACACCCTGATCTTAGAATAGATCATAGAATCCCTATAGTATAGAAAGAGACCATTTGGCCCATCAAGTCTGCACCAACCCTCCGAAAAGCATCCCCTACCCTATCCCTGTAACCCTGCTTTTCCCATGGCTAATGCACCTAGCCTACACATCCCTGGACACTTTAGGCAATTTAGCATGGTCAAACCACCTAACATGTACATCTTTAGACCTTGGGAGGAAACCAGAACACCTGGTGGCAACCCATGCAGAAAAGAGGAGAACGTGCAAACTCCATACAGACAGTTGCGCAAGGCTGAAATCGAACCCAGGTCACTGGTGCTGTGAGGCAGCAGTGCTAACTATTCAGCCACCCAGAAACAAACATCTTTTGTTTCCCATTACTGAGCCAATTTTGAATCCAACTTGACATTTTCATTGGTTTACATTTTTCTGACCAAGTTGCCCACATCAAGTGCACTACCATTTCGACCCTCCTTGATACTTCCTCAAAGAATTTATTGCAAGTTAGTCAGACATTCTATACTTAGCACATCCATATTACACGTTCCTTTTTTTTAATGTCTACATCACTTTTTCTGCCTTGTTTATCCACAAAGATGGACTCTCTATTCTCTAGAAAAAAAACTTCCCCTTGGCAATCACAGGGCTACAGGTGAGTAATGGGAGACATACGAGAGAGGTTGAAGAGGCACTGAGTCAACTTTGCAACATGGTGTTAAGGCAGAGAGTCTAGGAACAGAATCTTGGAACAAATTGGCACATAGAATAAAGAACCTATCATGGACAATGGAAAAAAGGTCAGGGACACAGCAAACCAGAGTTAGGATCAGACACAATATACTGAAACACGGGGATGGAAAGGATTTATTTAGATTTCCAAAAGTCCTTCACTAAGGTTCTACATAGTAGTCTCATGACTAAAGTCAGAACAATTGAAAAAAGGGTACTCATTGCTGAATAGATAATAAATTACAAAACAAAAAACAGAAAGCAGGGGGTAAGCTAGGTACTCAGACCGGTAAAAGGTGGGAAGTAGATTTTGCTGGGAGCACTGTATTCATCATTTACATAAATAACTTATACTCAAAAATTGGAAGTACAATTTCATAATTTACTAAAGACACATAATTTTGCAATAATGGTAACACTGAAGGAACTTGTGACAAGATACCAAACAAAATTAACAGATTTGCACAATACACCAGTGAATTTCAACATAGATAAGCAAAAGCTAGTGCTTGGAATGCAAAGATGTGAATGCTGGCCCAGCAGCAAAGGGACCTGAGGCACAGATCACAAAATGTTTTAGTACATGTTAATAAGCAAACAAAGCATCAGGGCTCATTAGAAGAGAAATTCCATTCAACTTATAGAGAATTTGGTTAGACCACATTTGATTGCTATGTATTGTTCTGATCTCCCTATTATAAAGATGTTGTAGAGGCACTGGGGAAAGTGCGAAACATGTTTATAATTCTGCTACCAAAACTGTGGGATTAAAATTATCAGGAAGAATTGAACAGTCATATACTAGGCACACAACTTTCCGGCAGATAGATAAATAGATATAGATATCTTTATGGTCCAAAGAGAGTAGTACCATTTCCTGAAGGCCAAGAAAATCTAACCTTCTGTCCTGATCTGCAATGAGTAAGCTCATCTCGAACATGGTAACATTGTTGATACCCACATTCAGGTGTGGTAAGGACAAGATTGTGCATTTGTACCCAAACATACCTGTCCTTGCCAGGCAAAGAAAGTGCGCAAATATCATGCAGCAAACATAAAAAAAAAGCTACAAGATTGTGGAACTCATTTTTGAGACTTTAAGTAGCCAAACCCTCACAGCAACTCGTCATTTCTGTACCTGCCCTCACTGACCAGGTCAGTTACAGACAATCGGCTGACACAAGTCCAAATTACTGAGGAAAAGGAGTGCGAGCTAGCTAGTGGTTTTGATTTAAACAGAACTAGAGAAATACTTTTAAAACAGCAAGCTCTAAAACAGGCCTGTTGTGCGAGACATGAAAAATGAAACATAAAGAGAAATTATCGGAAAATCTCAGCAGGGCAGGCAGCATCTGTGGCGAGAAAGTGGAGTTAATGTTTCGAGTCCAGTAATTCTTCTTCAGAACTGATAGTAGCTAGGAAATGGTTGGGTTTTTATGCAGAGGACAGGGTGGGAGTGGAGGGGCTAAAGAGTAACTGATAGGTGGAGATAGAGCCCAAAGAGAGAGAAGAACAGTTCGACAGACAAAGGAGTTGATATGAAAAATGATCCTGATGCTGGCACCGCATGGATTTAACAGAAATTCAAAAGAATCCAAGGATTTCATCATTTGACTTTGAAAATTACTCTAAAATATTAATAAAATTGGATTTTGAAATGCTAAACCAATCCAGAGTTATTAAGATAATTAGAAATAGTGGAGAGTCCATCCTACAAATAAAGCACAAACATGCTTTCAACTGAGAGCAGATTATCACAAATATGAAGTCACACGGCCCCAGGTTATAGTCCAACAGGTTTATTTGAAATCACAAGTTTTTGGAGCACTGCTCCTTCATCAGTTGAAACCCCAGTCCAACACCGGCACCTCCATATCATATCACAAATATGAGACAAATTTAATGGCCCTGTTACACTTCATCAACAATCACTATCAAAACAGATTCACTTGTGCACGTAAGATCACAATATCCCTTGCCCATCTGTTATCATTTTCTACATGTTTGCTTGCATTTATTAAAAGCAACTTTCTTGAACTAAAATTGTGGAAAATCCTTAGCCGCTGCAGCCAGATGTAATCTTCTAAAGAACATTGGAGAATAGACAGTGACAACAGCACTTGCATTGAAACTTTGCTTTGTTCTAAAACCTCTCTCTCCCGCTGTCTACTTTTATAAAAATATTACATAGCAGCCATTGTGAAGTGCATCTCATTCTGAATTCTCCCACTGTCCTCTGCCAACGTGAAAGATTAATTCACCTCTGGCAACCAATCCTATACCGTCCCCAAGACAGCAGGGTGTGCCCCTGCATTTGAACTGAAAATATATACATTTTGGTACGGTAGTGTCAACATGTGCTCAGACACATGCATTCATACAGACTTGAACTCACTTGCACTCTCATTCACACATACATACATGCATAATCTCACACGCAAACCATGGATATGGACTTCCTTGCACATTCATCCAAAACACTCAGGTGCATACATGTGTAAAGCTATTACAGTCCTTAAAATATGAAAAACTATAAAGAAAGTATTCCCTACATATTTGTTGGCCTTTATCTGTGAACTCACTTGGGAAAACAAGACAAGGATAACTGGATGATTTGTGGTGCAAATTCTTGTCTTCCGTGATGACAGGCAGACGAAACAGCCACTTCCTCTGCTACATCTGACAGATGGTGTTTAACTAACTAAGTCACATAACTAAGTCACTTTTCACGTGGTCCTGGCATTCTTCTGATTTTTAACCCACCATCGGAAGAACTAGTTAGATGTACTAAAGGGATCACTATGCTCTGATTGAACACAAGTATTGTCCTGGATATTTTTTAGAAGTTCATTCTCAGGATATGAAAAAGGCTAGCATTTATTGCTTGTTATTAGATGTCCTGAAAATGGTGATGATGAGGTGATTTATTCTGAACCACTGTAGTCCACAAGCACATTCCAGGATTTTGTTCCAAAAACAATGGAGGAATCATTAATCAGAGAGTCACTGAGTCATAGAGTTGTACAGCACAGAAACAGAACCTTCGGCCCAACTCATCTATGCCCTCCAGATATCCTAAATTAATTTAGTCCCATTTGCCAGCATTTGGCCCATATCCCTCTAAATCCTTCCTATTCATGTACCCATCCAGACACCCATAAATGTTGTAATTGTACCAGCTTCCACTATTTCCTTTGGCAGCTCATTCCATACATGCACCACTCTCAGTACGAAAGGTTCCCCCTCGGGTCCCTTTTATATCTTTTCCCTCTCACCTTAAACCTATGCCCTCTAGTTTTGGACAACCCTACCCTGGGAAAAAGACCTTGGCTGTTCACCCTATCCATGCCCCTCATGGTTTTATAAACCGCCATAAAGTCAACCCTCAGCCTCCAACTCTCCAGGGAAAATAGCCCTGTCCATTCTGCCTCTTCCTATAGCTCAATGTCAGCCCCCCCACCCCAGAAGCATCATTGTAAATCTTTTCTGCGCCCTTTCAAATTTAATCTCTTTCCTATAGCAGGAAGACCAGAATTGAATGCAGTATTCCAAAAGTGGCCGAACAAATGTCCTGTACAGCCACAACATGACATCCCAATCCTATACTCAGTGCACTGACCGATAAAGGCAAGCGTACCAAACACCTTCTTCACTATTCTGTCTACCTATGAACTATGAACCTGTACTATAAGCTCTTTGTTCAGAAACACTCCCCTGAACCCCCCCTTTAAGTGTATAAGTCCTGCCCTGATTTGCCTCATCAAAATGCAACACCTCATATTTATCTAAATTAAATTCCATCTGTGGTTTCTCAACCCATCAGCCCATCTGATTAAGGTCCCGTTGTAGTCTGAAATAGCGTTCTTCGTTGTCCACTGAGCCACCAATTTTGGCGTCATCTGCAAACTCACTAACCATTCCTCCTATATTCACATCTAAATCATTTAAATAAATTTCAAAAAGTAGTGGATCCAGCACCGATCTTTGCAGCACCCTGCTGGTCTCAGGCTTCCAGTCTGAAAAACAACCCTCCACCACTATCCTCTGTCTCCTACCTTCAAGGCAATTTTGTATCCAAATGGCTAGCTCTCCCTGATTTCCTTGTGATCTAACCTTGCTAACCAATCTACCATATGGAACCTTGTCAAACGCCTTGCTGAGGTCCATGTAGACATCAATCACTCTGCCTTCATCAATCTTTTCAGTCACTTCTTCGAAAAATTCAATCAAGTTAGTAATACACCACTTCCCATGCATGTTGACTCTCCTTAATCAGTCCTTGCCTTTCCAAATACATGTACATCCTGTCCCTCAGAATCCTCTATACCACCAATTTTAGTGTCATCTGCAAACTTACTAACCATGCCTTCTATATTCTCATCAAAATGAATTATATAAATAACAAAAGTGGACCCAGCACTGATCCCTGTGGAACACTGCTACGGTCCACATTTAATATTCAACCAAGGCTACCTAAAACAGCCTAATTTATCATTTATCGTGTTCTTTGCATATAAAATTACTGTTTTGTTCCTATATTACAGCATGGAACATTTTTCAAAAAACATTTTTTTGCTGGTTAGGAAGTGCTTTGAATTGTTTGAAGGATGCGAAAGTTGTATGATCAACTTAAGCTTCTCTCCTGTCCTGTTTGAAATTCAACCTTGCTATGGCCTCAGGCAGACTATACACAACATTGTTCCTATTACACACCATGAGCCATATAACATTGTCTCTGTCACACTTCATGGGCCATGTAACACTGATCTGGATACGCCTACTTTGGTTATTGTCAGACACAATCAGAACTGGAGTGGAAACTCAATCCTCATTCTGGAAAATACAGAACGTGTATCTTGGAATTCAAGCACATTTAAATTAATGATGTTTCCATTTTAACATGCATGACTGCTTCCAATCTTGAGGCTGATAACTGAAGTTATAATCGAGATTCAATATTAACATACTTGTGGCCCAGCTCATGGGCAATGGTAAAGGCCAGATTGAGACCGTTATCTTCAGCAAGCACACACTTGCGTTTTGCACTGCATGCTCCACCAAGGTAGCCAATTCCTGTGGAAGAATCCAAAAATGAAAAATGATTAATTAACTGGAGGCAAAATCAATTTAAATGAAGCCTGCTTTGTACTTCCTGCTTAGTAAGAGTGAGGAACAGGAGCCAGGTTCCACACACAATATGTAACACACAGAGTTCAGTGCCAGCTGCATTCTCCCGAGTTCTGATACTTATGTCATCTCCTAAATCTCCTTACTTGAAGAGAGCTTTGGCTCAGTTTTTAACTCAATAGTACAAATAAAACATCATCACTTTTTGTTTCCACATGAGGTGATGGAAGGGCAGTTTCATACAAAGAGAAACAAGAAATATTTTGCACACAAGCTATCCTAAATGTTTTGACAAATGACATGACAGAGTTAGGAGTGACGTGAGCTGAACCAGAACTTGGGAAAGCCCAAAGTTGCTATGTCTTATGCTTGCAAAGGTAGCAGAGTTCCATGAAAACAGGAAAATCAAAGAACTGTGGATGCTGGAAATCAGAAACACAAACAGATATTGCTGGAAAAACTCAGCAGGTCTGACAGCAACTGTGGAGAGAAAGCACAGTTAACCTTTCGGGTCCAGTGACCTATCTTCAGAACAAGGGTTTGTGTCCATGACAACATGGCTTATTGCGATGCAAATCCAGCTCTTAGAGTCATAGAGTTGTAAAGCATGGAAACAGGCCCTTCGGTCCAACTCATCCAAATCCAACCATATATCCTAAATTAATCTAGGTCCATTTGCCAGCATTTGGCCCATATCCGTGTAAACCTTTCCTATTCATATACTCATCCTAGCTCTTGGTTGAATTTTGTCTGGTTTTATGTTAACGCTAATAACATGTGTAATCTTTAACAATATTTCCAGTAAGATTGAGGATAATTAAATGGGGATTTATAGATATCTTAATGCCAATTCTTAGAGCTCAAATCCATTTTCTGTAATCTCTTCTCCACCCACACGTTCTCTAACATAGTGTTAATATGACAGCATCCTTAAGTGCTATGTTTAAAGGAGCGCCTTAAAGAGAAAAATAATAACTGACTCTTCTTCTGTTTCAGTAAATATTGTAAAGAACCAGCCACAACTCCCAGAGAAGCAGCCAGCACCACATTCTTTCACTCCATGTTATAACCTAAGAAAATCATTGGGGAAGTGCTTTACATACCATAAACAAAGTATAAACCCATTGCCAGTGGAGGAGCAGGGTTCTATTTATGAACCAATGGATGAATTCATGTCTGACCTCACCTGCAGGATCCAAGGGCATTGCAGCCGGAGGATGGTCATTTACTGAACAATATTATCTTCTGGCGTTATTTGATAATGGTGAATGACACGCTGGAAAGCTTAGAGGTGATGCTGGAGGAGGTCACTAGCTGCATCCATATAATTACGCCTCACCACTTAACACCAGAATGAAACACATGGCAAATCGATGGGCATTAATATCTGTACCACATGTGACAAAACTTCCTGACACAGTAGTAATCACAATTATTGGGATGTCAAAATGTTATTATTGAAACCTTAGGGTTCATTGTACAGCCTGTTCCCCAAGCTGCTTTTAGAGTGCAGGTCAAGCATCTAGAGACTCTTTACTCAGGACTTCATAAACTTCTTCTCCACTCTCCCACACTCCATTTCTTTGGAACTTATTCTCTTTCATGCTCAAATGTTACACCTCATTGGGTTATCTAACTGGAAATCAAGCCCCGCTATTTCTAAAATCATCACAAAAGTTAAACATTTTATAAAAGTACACGAAACTCCCCAATTTACCTGTCTTTTAGACAGGGGTTGATGGACCAAGTTTCTGTAGTTAACAAAAATTACTATTTATTATAAGTAATTAGATTCTAATCTCAGGCACACAATATTGGACTATCAACATATAACTCTACTAGTTAAGGCTTGAACCTCGTTATAAACTCCCCCTCTACACACACAGACAGACAGATGGACAAGAAAAAAAAACATGGGGGTTATGGGTGAAGGGAATGGCTGGGATGGTAATTCAGTGGTCACAGTACCATAGGATTTGTTCAAATGATTCTTGTGTTGATCAAAACACTGCTCCTTGATCTTTGTTCTCCAGATACTTTTACTTGCTCGCAGGAGGCACAGGGTGAATGTAGTGCAGTTGATTTTGTTTACATGGACTTCAGTAAGACCTTTGACAAGGTCCCACATGGAAGGTTGATTCAAAATGTAAGAGCCCATTGGATCCAAGACAAGTTGGCAAACTGGATCCAAAACTGGCTTGCCCAAAGGAGACAAAGGGCGAAGTTGGAGGGTAGTTTTTGTGGTTGGAAGTCTGTGACCAGTGGTGTACCACATGGATTGGTGCTGGGACCCTCGCTTTTTTTTACGTGTATTAACAACTTGAATGTGAATGTAGAAAGTTTAATTAGTAAATTTGCATTTGTCACAAAAATTGGTGTGTTAATAATAGTGAGGAGGATGGTCTCAGGTTACAGTCTGATATTGATCAGCTAATAAATTAAGCCGAGCAATGGTAGATGGAATTTAATCTTGCTATGTGTGAGGTGATGCATTTTGGGAGGTCTAATAAGGAAAGGATTTACACAATGAATTCCCCTAGGGAATACTGAGGAAGAAAGGGATCTTGGTGTACAAGCCCAGAGATCTCTAAAGGGATCAGCAGGTATTAAGTGGTGAAGAAAGTATACAGGATGCTTGCCTTTATTAGCTGGGGTATAGAATGTAGCAGCAGAAGTGTCTTGTTGGAAATTTAAAGAGCATTAGTTAAGCCATAGATAGAATGCTATGTGCAGCTCTGGTTGCTACACTATCAGAAGTATGTGATTACACTGGACAGGATATGAAATAACTCCACAGAGACTGGCATCGGTCATCAAGTCACCCTTAATTTACACATGAACAGTCCTTGACTTTAGTACAACCTCATTCAAAGTCAGCTACCACAGTGTCAGAAACTCTGAGTCTCTCCTTTTTATGTCAGCCAGGGCTACCTAATCAGACTAGATTAACAGCTCCAATCAGGGAACCCATATTCTATGAGATCCTGCTGACTGACCTCGTTACAATCACTTAAGGGTACAGAGGAGGTTCACCAGGATGGTGCCTAGGATGGAAAGTCTCAGAAAGACTGGATCGACTGGGTTTGTTTTCGCTGGAGCAGAGGTTGACAGGTGATCTGATTGAGATATACAAAATTATGAGAGGCACAGATAGGGTAGGTCATGGGAATCTTTTCCCCATGGCAGACAAGTCTAAGACCAAAGGGCATAAGTTTATGGTGAGGATTAAATGGTTTAATGGGGATCTGAGGAAAAATATTTTACACAGAGGGTGGTGGAAAGAATGGAACGTGCTGCCTGAGAGGGTGGAGGAGGCAGGTACTCTCACAACATTAAGTGGCATCCAGACAAGCATTTGAAATGGCAGGGCATAGTAAGCTATGGACTATGTGAGGGTAAATGGGATTGGTATAGTTTGGTGTTTCTTGGTCAGCATAGACATAGTGGACCTAAGGGCCTGTTTCTATACTGTATGACGCTATGACTTTAGGTCTGATGGGTTTCTGCCTAAACATTTTCACCCAGAGGGTCATGCAGGTATATAGAACAGAGAAAGGCCCTATGGCCCATCGAGTCTGCTCCAGTCAAAAACAACCACCTAACTGTACTAATCTCATTTTCCAGCACTTGGCCCATAGCTTTGTATGCCTTGGTTGTGGGATCTGGAACTCACTGCCTGTAAGGGTGATAGAGACAGAAACCCTCAATGTTTAAGAAGTATTTAGATTTGCATTTGTGTTGTCAAGACATACAAGGCTATGGGCCAAGTATTGGAGAATGGGATTAGAATAGTTACGTGCTTGTTTTTGACCAGTGCAGACTTTAAACGCAGAAGGGCCTTTTCCTGAAAAGTAGACCTCTATGATTCTTTGATCTCTAATGCAGCAGAGACCTGAAAGTACATGAATAGGAAACGTTTAGACCAAGTGCAGGCAGGTGGAACTAGTTTAGTTTAGGATTACAGTGGGCATGGACTGGTTGGACCAAAGAGTCTGTTTCCATGGTGTATGACTCTTATGACTATGACTCTATAACTGAATAGCAAAGAAGTACAGAGATAACAAGGTGTAGAGCTGGATGAACACAGCAGGCCAAGAAGAAGGGTCTAAGCCCGAAACGTCAGCCTTCCTGCTCCTCTGATGCTGCTTGGCCTGCTGTGTTCATCCAGTTCTACACCTTGTTATCTCAGATTCTCCAGCATCTGCAGTTCCTCCTATCTCTGAAGCAAAGAAGTACAGTGGCTGTTAACTACCAACCATTCATGGCCTGGCAATGCCTGATTTGTCAGTATTGAGTGAACCAGGGAAAAGAGGTTTCAAATCTACCATGGAGCTGGGTTGGGCCCCACTGCAACTCATGTTTCCTGTGCTTGATGAGATTGTTGATGAGTCTCAAGACTTGTATTTGAATGTATGCTCTGTCAGGTCTCAGGATTCCGATACCTGGCAAGGGTTGGTATGACAAAGAAGGTGGGGAGAGACAACCCAGTTCCAATAAGAAAGTCTAACAAATTTTAATACAAGAGCTAAGTGATTAAAAACACAATTTTCCATCAAAGGAAGCTAATGAAAACAAAGTGAATCAAAAAGATCATGTTTGTTTATGTGTTGATAAACTGAACAAGCAGCAGCATTAGCAGGGAGCCAAATGAAGAACCAAAACACAAAACACCAGTTTAAGCTTCCTGCCTTTGGTTTAATGCAGTTTGTTGCAACAAAATCCTAACAGTTACATAATAATTATAATTAGTTAGTCTGGAAACTGTAGGGTGTAGGCTGCAAAGGAATTCATTTGTTTGAAAATAACTACGTAGAATCTGATAATAATGCTATGATGCTTCATCACTGATTCTGTGTTTACCAGACTGAGGGCTGCACAAATAGTTTAAGACTGTGTGCTAGAATTGTTTCAGTTGGTCACTTTCAGTAAATGTGCAATGAGAGACA